AGCCAACATGGCCGTCTTGTGCAGGCAATTGCCCACGGTGAACCAATGTGCTATCTCATCTCCAATCCGGGTGGGCTCTATCACAATGTGCTTGTACTGGGCTTCCAGCGCCTGCTCCAGCTCATACTCAAACTGGTCCTGGGCATTCTCCCTACTGTAGATTTTATGCACTATGTACCAGTCGGTGGCTGACAAGCTATCCCTCTCTCGGGAGCCACAGCCGCCCGGACCCAGACTCCTCCTTCCCCACACGGCCATCTTGGAAATCCTTTTCATCATTCTTTTTTTTTTTTTTTTTTTGGTTTTTCGAGACAGAGTTTCTCTCTATCCTTTTGGAGCCTGTCCTGGAACTCGCTTTGTAGACCAGGCTGGCCTCGAACTCACAGAGATCCGCCTGCCTCTGCCTCCCAAGTGCTGGGATTAAAGGTGTGTGCCACCAACGCCCAGCTCCCTTTTCATCATTCTTAACAGTCAAAGTCTTGCCGTAGAGCAGTGGTTCTCAACCTGTGGGTCATGACGCCTTTGGGGGCCCATACACCTCTTTCACAGGAGTCACATAAGACCATCAGAAAACTCAGATATTTACATTAGGATTTATAGCAAAATTACAGTTATGAAACAGCAACACAAATAATTTTATGGTTGGGGTCACTACAACATGAGAAGCTGTGTTAAAGGGTTGCAGTATTAGGAAGGTAGAGAACACTGCCCTAGAGTAATGTTTCCTCCTACATCCCTTATCACCAACCTAGGCCCTAATACAATATAACAGCCCCCAATTTATGAGTGAGAGCCTGAAAAATAACTGATGACAACTTTTGCAGACTTTCCTTTTTATTCCTCCTAAAAAAATGAAAGTTCCAAAATTTTATTTCCATATATTTTACATTTATTATAGAACATAGCAATGCAGTTAACAGGGAGGGTATGACCTGAGGATGCAAATGACCAAAAATTCAAATTTCAGCTTTAATACCAACTTGCTAACTTAACTATCTATACTTCAGTGTCTTCAAAAAAAAAAAAAACCACTCTGTAGAGTTGTGGGCATTAGAATAACCAGTATGCACTCAAATATAGACATTAGCATTAGCACTTGCTCTGAAACACAGAAATATGGAAGGTCATTGGAAAAATCCATTTGTGGAAGGTGATACAGCTGGACCATTATATTTTGTTTCAGTTATTCAGTGTTGTATACACACACATGTATACAACATACATATATACGTATGAGTCCTATTTTACATTTGTTTACCATTAATGACAAAAACAGACAAAAGTTTTACCTCCCATGTACCTCATATCATCACAAGGGACACAATTAGATTTTGTTAAGGGCTGTGGCAAAATTAAGGATGTTAAATCGACTAAGACGTTGGAAATAGGACACAGTTATGAGTATAAATTTCACAGCAGGCCTTATTGTGGACATTAACCCTGTTCTCAAAGGTTTTGTGAACAGCGTTGTAGAATGGGAGGGTGTGGAGAAAGAGACAAGAACTTCTAATCATAGCACAGCATGAGTATTTTCCTTGCTGCAGCATGAAGGGAGAAGTTTTCCAGATGGCCTCATTTTACCTCAGTCAACTTGAGGAAACTTCTTCCCACGATGTGTGGTGCTGTGTACACACTCTGCCTTCCCAAATATGGCTGCTGAGTACCGTCACCTGGTCTGTGACCTCTGGAGGAGGTCACAATCATGACTCATGTTCACTATGGGACTGTCATTAGCAAGTCCCTGGGGGCCAGCAGAGATGGACCCGGCTATGGGCTCTTCTTAATGGCATGAGCGGTAGTAACTGAGAGTTATTTCAATGTAAATATATGTAAATTATCATTAAATGACATTAAGAACTTAGTTTCTCTGTCACAATGGTTGTATTCTGTGTGCTGAGTGACCATGTATGGCTAAGGTGTCACCTCTGGGGTAGAACATCTATGTCACTGCAGGAAATTCTCTCAGCGTTTGTTATTCTGACTGTTTCTATCTCTGGATATTATTATTCTTTTGTTCCCCCCGAGGCGCTGCTATCAGATTTAGCTCTTTCTCATCCTTTTGATTTGTTTCAGTGCTAGCTGTAGAATTTTATGTAAAGGAAGGATATTTAGGCAAGTGTTCTTTTGTTCTAGAACCTGAAATTCATATTTTATATTCAGACTGCCCCAGAGTGTCTTTGATGAGTTATTGATTTGTAGATGTGTGCTGGGTGAGTGGCATGAGAATGGATTCCAGGGAGACTGTGGAAGGACCATCAGATTTTGTAGGTCAAGTTAGAACAATATCTTATTGGGAGCAGTTTTAACCAAGGGACACACAGTGATCAACTATGTTCACATACTACCAGACACTGTTAGTTCCCCCAAGATAAACATGGCCCTAAATCCCAAGGAGACCATCTTTGGGCCCCAAAGAGTAGACAGAGCCCCCCCAAAGAGTTTCATTTGTCTCTCTCACACTGCTATACATAGGGTATCCTGAAAGTCTAGAGGGAGCTGAATACATACTCAGGCTTTGCTAGCTGTGAGTGAGAAGATAGGACAGAAAATAAGAGGCCAGTTCAGAACAGTGATTCTCAACAGGACCCTGGTGGATAAGTGATTTGTTCTGATGATGAAGTTGAGAGGATGGTGTCCATAAGACGTGGTGTTTGAGGGTCTGAACAAGGGAGTGTTCATTAAGGTAAGTACTAGTGAGGTCTAAAGTAAAAACAATCTTGTCTATGGAGATAGACAGGCTTGGAATGACGGGCTGAAAGGTGAGTCTTGAGCGTAGGGTTTCAGAAGGAGGATAGAGCACAGCAGTGGTACAGTGGATGGAGCTGACGCCTCAGTGGGGAATGCAGTCAGAGCTGGGAACCCTTGTGGGGTTTTGGGTGAGCTGAGCCAGTGACTGAGACGCCGGTAGTGGTGAAAGCAGGCAGGGTTTATAACGTCTAAAATACAGGTAACGAGGACCTGACATGAGAGAGCATGTCACAGGGTGACATGGGAGACATTGGCTCCATCAGTGTTGATGTCTAAGAGGAAAAAAAAATCAGTGTTTTGAATACTTATTGGGTGATGGGATGAAAGAGACAAATGGATCAATGAGGACTCTGCTTCCAAGGAAATGCATTCATTAAAACTCTCCTTCCAAGTCTTCAGGGCTGAGCTTTGACCTGTAGATGTTACAAATGATTTATATTGGCCTCTGAGCCATTGAGTTTGTTTTATGCCTCTTGAAGTCTCCATTCTGTCATGTATCAAAGGAATTTGAGGTATACACCATACTAGAGGAATGCCCTTCTATTAATTTAAGTTTGAAAATTTGTAGAAATTTAGCTTCATTTCTAGTAGTTTTAATCCAGATACCAAAACTAGCCCCCTTGTTTAGACATCATGTTGGATCGAACCGTTGAATCTTTAATAAATGAAGACTGAAAGCCATCTGCAAAATTACTGCCCGATACTAATATTAACATTGGTCAAGGTTCCAGATTCTAGGTTCTAGGTTCCGGAATCTGAGAGTTTGCCTACTGGAATGCTCGTTCATATTTTCAATGAGTATTTGTTGTGTGAAAAGCAGATGGCTTCCTTCCTTTTGTAAGTTGTGAATTGCTTCTTTTGGATTGTAAATTAAGTTCTGAGTTGTTGGTTGGTAAATGCTTATAGATTTGTAACTAGTCACAGTCCTAAGGCTTCATATGGTGGGAACTATATTGAAGCAAGAATTTCCTAGCACCTGAGTGAATTGTTAAAGGATTTTCCAAGTGACAGTTACCATTATAATGGCATCTTCCTTTAAGCTTTCAAAATAAAACAACACCTCCCAAATAACCTAGCACCCTAATTCTCAAGTTTGTATAATTAAGAAAATCTAACAGATAAATGCTCATTACTTCAGATTTTGCAAATATACTTAAAAATGCATGGCTAAAGTCATACAGTAATAGATGTCAGGCCTTAAATTCAATTCCCAGAATACACAAAAAGCAAACCAGAATAGATGTCTTTTAGTTAGACTTAGCGACTGCCTCTATCCTCTGTGTGTATGTATGTGGGTATGCATATGTCTGAGTATGTGTGTATGACTGTGTATGTGTGTGTGTGTGTGAGCATGTGTGCATGTGTGTATGTGCATGTATGTCTGTGTTTGTATGTGTGTATGAATATGTATGTGTAGGTATGTATATGTGTGCATAGGTATGTATATATGTCTGTATGTCTGTATGTCTGTGCTGATGTGTTTGTATGAATTCTTGGAAGACAGAAATACTCTTCCCTTAATCAGAAAGGTATGGTGACATGGGAAGGTGGTATAAGAAAATGGGCACATCTGATCAGAACAGAGGGATTTGAGGACATTTATACATGTTCTGCATGTTTTATTTGAAGAATAGTAGTGTATTTTTGGTCATGAATTATCGTTAAGTTGAGAAGCATGGGACATTTCCACATCCTTTTGGAGTGTGCTAATCGAAAGAGGAAAAGAAAACAAGTTGAGTCTTCATTTCTCTTGGGAGAAGGCATTGTTTGTTAAAAGTTGGGTTTATAAAAAAGCATTGTCTTCCAAGAGTGATCTTCCCAGGTGACTACCCTTTGCTGCCACTGTGAGTTGTTTAATAACATCTCAAATTAGCCTTATGAAGGGCTAAATATGCGCTTCATTAACACTAGGATTTCTGAAATGGGATTTTAAAAATAAACAATGCCCTCCAATGAAATGCATGATTTCTTAGGAAAGGTATCTTTTCAAGCAATTTGTGTCTTAATGCTAGCTGGTGCAATGAGTTGAAAAAACCTTGAATTGCACATTATATTATTTTGCATGTCTTGTCTCTTGTCTTGGGCAGTTGACTAACTCCGCAGTCTTGCTCCCATGGTAACTAGCTCTCAAACTTCAATCTTCTCCATCCAGTTTGCCAGATGTAGCCAACAGAACATGTGTGACCTTTTGTGTGCCAATTCCGCCTAGCTGATGGGAAATCATAAGTTAATTGCTTGACTTTTATTTCTAGGCATTACAGCAGAAGTACTGGTAGTGACCTCTTTTGATGAACTCCAAAGAAGGGCATCAGAGGCAAGAGGGAAGATCATTGTTTATAATCAGCCCTACATCAACTATGGGATGACAGTACAATACCGTGTGCTTGGAGCCGTGGAGGCTGCCAAGGTGGGGGCTGTGGCATCCCTCATCCGATCAGTGGCTTCCTTTTCCATCTACAGGTGAGTCGTGTTGTTTGTTTGGAATATCTTCAAAAATTAGTTTTCTACGAACAAAAAAGACATTATGAAATGAAGCAGACCCCCCCAAATGAAACTGATAGTGCATGGAATCTCCTCCCCCTCCCCCCAGTTTCATGTTTGGTAATTTAATTGGGATGTCTTCCTTGGCCCTTCGGAATTCACAGCATCATTTGTGAATTCCTCTGAAAGGTTTCCACATTCAAAATGATCCCATAACATTCTTTCTATAATTAACACATTACTTATTTCATTGGAGGGAGAACTGAGTTCATGCCTGTGTTTCATCCAAGATTCCTAATGACTGCAGCAGAGGCCAGGCTGTTTCCCGTGTTGCTGCAGGAGTGAAATCAGAACAGAGTGAATGGCATGATGAGGCATGTCTGTTGTGTCATAGAAAGAGCTTGGGAACTAGAGGACCTATCTGAACAGCCCTGTGAACAGATTATAAGTTTATTTGCCATGTCTGACCCTGTAATTTTCCTGTACAGACAAGTAAATGGTTATAAGTACATAAAACGATTTCTAACCCTAAATGAAGTAAACTTAAGAAAAAAATACTTGTTTATCTGTAGATGTTTATATAAATAAATGTTTGATGGTGTTGTCTGAGGACAATAGAAGGCTTGTGTTCTCTGGAACCCTGTTGAGGTAAAGGCAAAGTACTTATGCTGCTGGAATTTCTTTCCAGCCTGGTTCCACAGTTGTTTAGCCCCAAATAAACACATGGATGATATATTAGTTATAAAACTGTTGGCTGATGGCTAGGGATTCTTTTTTTTTTCCGAGGCAGGGTTTCTCTGTATTGTTTTGGAGGCTGTTCTGGAACTCGCTCTGTAGACCAGGCTCTGTAGAACTAACAGAGATTCACCTGCCTCTACCTACCAAGTGCTGGATTAAAGGTGTGTGCCACCAACACCCAGCTGGCTAGGGATTCTTATTGGCTACTTCTCTCTTGATTCTTAACCTATAACTATTAATCTATGTATTTTCATATGGTCTTGACTTACCAGAGAATGCCTGGACCTGTTACTCCTTTGGAAGCTACATGGCATCTCCTCATGGTGCCTCTCTCTGCCTCCTTACTCCTTCCTTTCATAGCTCCACCTATACTTCTTGCCTGATTAGCAACCAATCAGTGTTTTATTTATCAACCAATAAGAGAAGCTTATATACAGAGGGACATCCCCCATCAACTTATTTATTTTGTGTTACTTTAGAAATATTGTATGTGTATGGCTGTTTACTTGTGTGTATTTTGGGACTGGAATTGCGGATGTTTGTTATCTGCTTTGTGAGCACTGGGAACCAAACCCTTGTCGTCTATAGCAGCAGTAAGTGCTCTTAATCACTGAGCTCCTACTTTTGATTTCTAAGAGGTATATCCCCTACCCCAGGATTTTGTTATGTGTTTAATCTTGGCTTGAACTCTTAAGCCTGAACAATTCCCCTGCTTTGGTCTCCTGAGGGAGTGAAACTGACAGCATGTACCCACTGTCCCAGGCCAAGGTGCTTCACTGAATCTCAGTTCTAGAAAGACATTCAGAACTGCAATGGATAAAAGCTTTAAAAACGGACATGTGTCTATTTGGTCAAGTTTAATAGCTGTATATGGTAATACTGTCATACACTGATATAAATGCAATAAAATAAACATGTTAGAAAAGCAGAAAAAAGAAGCACCACATTAAAGTTGCCCAGTCTGAGTTGTCAAAAAAAATGGAAAAGCAATTGCAAATAGGGTTTATTCAGGTCCCGGAACTGGACTTTCTGTTTCTGTTATAAGGGAAAACTGTATTCTTCATAACTGCTATTTGAAGCTGAAGACACAGCTGGTTGGCCTTAATTAGAACTCTTCACCCCCTAAAATAAAATCGGCAGCTGGGATGTACAGTCAGAACAGTTGTGCAGAGTGCAATGTGAAGGATGGAGACTTTTTATTTTACAGGGATAGGATGTCTTCCCTGGGTTGCAAAATAGTACAGGTTAAGAATCACCCACTAGGAGTTCTGTGAGAGAAGTCCTGGTTATACCATTGTCACAAAACTAAAAATAATACTCTTTGTCAAGTCTTTAATTAAGGTTCCAAGACTGGTGAAATAATAGTTGGATAATACCCCTTTGGATGGCTAATCTTCCCAGGAGGGAAATCCAAAAGCAGCTAGCTAGCTTACTTCCCAGACTGCCTCAGCTACTCCTTGGAATAACACCCTCAGCAAGCTGTGGTCATTTGCCATGATTTCATCGGTCATGAGGCATAAATTACGGAATGAGTCTGTTGCTGCATGAAACTGGAACATAGCCAAGAATCTTGAAGAACTGCCATCATAAGACTCACACATTCCCAGATGACTTAATGCTCAGCCATCAACCAGGGCTCATTGGCCTGTTTTTTTAAATTTGTTTATCTTTTTGTTGCTTATTCTTTCCCTCAGCATAATAGAGACTTATGAAAACATAGGCTACATCCTGGAAGTGAGAATTGCCCAGCATGGGTCTTCAGGATGTTAGCCTTGAAATCTTGGGATCAGCAACTTTTGCCGTGCAAAAGCAACTTTTTCTTCATGATCTGGGGCTTTATAGCCAACAACATTTCCCTGGTCTTTTAACGCTATAACTCCGTTTTTGGCAGCACAATGGATTAATAGATTGGCCGTGACGTATCATCTTTGAGTGCCTTCACACATGTCATGTTACTTATTGTGGCATCAACCTGAAGATGGGGCATTATTTTTCCCATTTCTAGGCAGGGAAGTAAACATTCATAGAATCGGGTGCGTTACTGTGTTGAATTCTTTCATCCTGAAAAGTAAAAATCGAGATGAAGTAAAATCTCTTTGTTCCCTTATAGGTTATTTTAGAACCTGGTTTTTGTAAAGCATATCTTACATTCTGTGATTCTTCATCCTTCATTCACCACAGGCACGTCAGTGTGGCTTTTGTGAGTACTAAGAAGGATCTTGTTAAAGTCATAAATAGCTCTCAGTTTCTCAAATATACTGGATTTTAGTATTTCTTTTTCAAATATACCTCTCCATATGTCTGTCTGTCCTCCAATATCCCTCCCTCTTCCTATGTCCCCTTCCCCCAATGATCCTCCCTTCTCCATTCCTTCTTCTCCCTAAATCTCTCTCTTCTCCATTTTCTCCCTCCCATCATTCCCTCTCTCTATGTCCCTCCCTTTCTCTTTTCTGCTGTCCCTTTCCACCCTTATGTCATACCATCTCCCTCTTTTATCCCCCCCCATTTCTTTGGCAGCTGACTAAGAAGATTCTACCTAAGCATTCTCCATAAATTCTCTATAAATGTTCTTCCATGAGCTCAAGGCTCACGTACCCACCTGTTTGATTCTTCTCTTGGATGTTCTAGGCTGATGTCCATTTTAGTGTTTGCAAAACCCCAAACTTTTTCTCTTGCATTTTTCACAGTTAAAAATTTCCGTCCCGCACATCACATAGTCCATAGTCCTTCCTTGTACTTTTCTTTCTCTGTCCTCATTTCTGGTAGTCAACCCATCTCTTAGCCTCTGCCCTGTGTCAAGCATTTCAGCAGATGTGAGTGGAACTGCCCCATTTCCCAGGGTCTCTCTCTAGAAGTTTCTGTATTTCCAGTTAGCTACCATTGCATCTTTTCTCTATTCACTGTCTCCCTGTCACACCCTGTCCTTCATTGTTCATCTTAGGCCTTTCTTCCAGAGAACAGCCTCTGATTCTAGCCATAGTCCCTCCCGATGATCTACCCATTTTTGGTACATCATCTGTACGTCCTTGACATCCAGTGTGCCAGAGGCAGTTTCGGTGCATGCTTTGATAGCGTAGGCTACTGCTGACGGGCAGTTTTGCATCTCAGTCACTTAGCAGCTACTCCTTTCCATCTTGTGGTTCTAACCTCTTAGACCCGAGTCTTCCGCATGGAGATAAACAAGAAGCAGATTGACAGCTGACAGCCCAGAGGGAGGGTTTTTTCATGGTTATTCATGTGAATGCCTAGATACAGCATATCACCTTCGCTGGCATTCTGTTGGTCAGCATGCCAGCACGTGAAGGCTAAGAAATCTGGTTTATCTTTATGTCTAAGGAAAAATGAATTTGCTGAAAATCTTTTCAGTTTGCCCAAGTGCCTGATTATACAATATGCTCTAAGTTCCAGAAAGACATTGATTTTACACACACACACACACACACACACACACACACACACACGCACACACACACACACACACACGGGGTGGGAGGTTGGAGTGTTTAAAGCCTATTTATAGCATCCAGCATAACATTTGATGCATAGTAGAAATCTGTAAATGGCTATTGGAGATTGTGGAATAAATCGTGGCAGATATGATAACAAATCAGGTGACTCAGTTCCTAGTGTTCACTGACCATACCGTATAAATCCTTCATAGTAAGCTTACAATATCTTGGCTTTTGTTGGAACACTCTGATTTGTTTTGGAAAGAAACTATCCAAATATCCAAATTATAAATATATTTAAAAATAGTTGTGAGCAATGGTGTTTTCAGTTGATGGTTAGAAAAAAAGAAAGTTTCTCTCTGGTGAGTCTTTTCCCTGCATTTCTATGAGAGAGGGTGGCATTGGACTGCACTTAGGAATCTAGCAGAAGCTAGCAATGCTCGGGAACAGAATATGCATTGCAGTTAACCGCCAGTTAGCTTTATGATTAGAGTCCTCACAGGACAGTTTCAGTTGGCTACCTTGAGAACCACAGTCTTTAGCGTAACCACTAACACCTGCCGCCATCTTGGACGAGCGCATGGTTACGGATGCCCTCAGAAGACAGTCTGTTGCTGGCTGACAGCATCGCCTCCGGGCTCTTGCTGTTTTCCTAATCTGCATGGTCTAGCACTTCTATGCTCACATTTACTTCAGCGAGAGGAGACTTTCCATTTTATGGGTGCTTTTGTAATGATCTGACCTTTCACTAACCATTGAGCATTAGCTTATGAGAGCGTCTCAGTTTTTTCC